TCAATAGTCCACTACCCCACTAGACCTCTTCGTTGTTGTTGTTAAGTGCTGTCAAATTGGTTCAACTCACAGCAACCATATAGACTACAGAACAAAACACTGTTTCTGCCCCATGCTCAAAATTGTTGTGATGTGTGAGCTCATTGTTTCAGTCACTGTGCCAATCCATCTTGTCAAAGATCTTCCCCTTTATTTTTGTTAAATTTAATTATTTTTAGATCATTTTAATGAGGGTTCTTATAGCTCTTATCATAACCCATACATCCATCCATTGTGTCAAGCACATTTTTATATATGTTGCCACCATTATTTCAAAAAATTTTCTTTCTACTGAGCCCTTAATGTCAGTTCTTCCTCCACCCCCTCTCTCATGAACCCTTGATAATTTCTCTTTTATTTTAATGTCTTACACTGATTGCTGTCTCACTTCATCCACTTTTCTGCTGTCCGTCCCCCTGAGAGGGGGTTATATGTCGATCATAGTGATCGGTTCCACTTTTCTACTCTCCCCACCCCACCTTCCTCTTCCCCTACTGGTATTACTACCCTCATTATTCATCCTGAGGGGTTTATCTGTACTGGATTCCCTGTGTTGCGAGCTCTTATCTGTACCAGTGTACATGCTCTGGTCTAGCAAGATTTGTAAGGTAGAATTGGGGTCATGATAGTGGGGGAGGGCATTAAAAAACTAGAGGACAGTTGTATGTTTCCTTGGTGCTATATTGAACCCTGACTGGCTCATCTCTTCCTTGTGACTCTTTTGTAAGGGGATGTCCAATTGTCTACAGATACAGATGGGCTTTGGGTCTCCACTCCATCATATCATTCACATTGATATAATTTTTTCGTTCTGGATCTTTAATGCCTGGCACCTGATCACATTGACACCTCATGCTTACACAGGCTGGTGTGCTTCTTCCATGTGGCCTTTGTTGATTCTCAGCTAGATGGATACTTGTTTATTTTCAAGTCTTTAAGACCCCACACGCTATATTTTTTTGAAAGTTGGGCCATTAGCTTTCTTCAGACCTTCCTCTTTTTTGCTGCTCCTCTATTTCTACAAATATGATATCCTTCTCCAGGGACTGTTCTCTGCTAGCATCCCCAAAGTACTTGGAATGAAGTCTTGCCATCCCTGCCTCCAAAGAATATTCTACTTGTACTTCTTCCAAGACTGATTTGTTGTCAGTCCAGGATACTTTCAATATTTTTCACCAGCAGTATCATTCAAATACATCAATTCTTCATCAATCTTCCTTCATCAAACTCCAACTTTCACATACATATGAGACAATTGAAAATATCATGGCTGGACTCAGATACACCTTAGTCCTCAAAGTAACATAATTGCTTTTCAACACTTTAAAAAAGTCTCCTGCAGCAAATTACTCAATGCCATACATTATTTGATCTCTTGACTGCTGCTTTCATATGTACTGATTGTGGATTCAAACAAATTGAAATCCTTGACAACTTCATTCTTTTCTCCATTTATTCTGTAGTTTCCACTGGTCCAGTTGTGATAAGTTTGGTCTTTACATTGAGTTGTAATCCATATTGAAGGCTACAATCCTTGAAATTCATCAGCAAGTGCTTCAAGTCCTCCTTACTTTCAGCAAGCAAGGTTGTTAATAAGCCTTCCTCTGATTTTAATGCCACATTCTTTATGTAGTTCAGATTCTCTGATGACTTGTGCAGGATACTGATTGAATAAATATGGTGAGGATACAGCTTTGACACACACCTTTCCCTGACATTAAACACTAGTATTCTCTTGTTCTGCTTGCACAATTATCTCTTGATCCATGTACAGGTTCCACCTGAACACAATTAAACGCTCTGGAATTCCTATTCCTCTAAAGGCTATCTGTAGAGTTTTTTTTAATGATCTACACAGTTCAATGGCTTGGCATAGTCAAGAAAACACAAGTAAACACCTTTCTGACATTCTCTGCTTTCAGACAAAATTCACCTGCCATCAACAATGATATCCCTACTTCCACATGTCTTCTGAATCTGATCTTAACCTCTGGCAATTCCCTGTCAATGTACTGCTCTTACCATTCCTCAATGATCTTCAACAAAATTGTACTTGCTCATGTTGCCAATAATATTTTTCTATAATTTGTGTTCTGTTGTGTCGCCTTTCTTTAAAGTTAGCACAAATATGGATCTCTTCTAGTGAGTTGACCAAGTTGCTCTCTTTCAAATTTCTTGGCATAGAAAAGTGACTACTTCCAATATTTCATTAGCTTGTTGAAACATTTCAATTGCTATTTCAAGTCATAGAGCCTGGTTTTTGCCTAATGCTTTCAGTGAAGCTTGAACTTCTTCATTCAATACTACTGGTTCTTGATCATATGGTACTTCTTAAAATGGTTGAAGGTCAACTATTTCTTTTGGTACAGTGAGCCAGTGTATTCTTTTCACCTTCTTTTGATGCTTCCTGCATCATTGAATACTTTGCCTATTGAATCTTTCAATATTGTAGCATGAGGCTTGAGTTTTATCGAGTTATTTCAGTTTAAGATATGTTGAGTGTGTTCTTCCTTTTTGATTTTCCAACTGTAAGTCTTTTCACATTTCATTATAATATTTTACTGTTTTCTCAAGATGCCCTTTGAAATGTTCTGTTCAGCTTTTTTGCTTCATTATTTCTTCCATTTGCCTTCACTAGCTATGATTTTTGACCTTTTATTTTGACATAATCTTAGATTTATAGAAGAGTTCTAAGAGAAGCACAAATAGTTCTCCAAAGCAACATTTTAATGCCTTATCTACCTGTTCTGTCTTCTTCTTCTCTACATTGCCCTTTTCCCACTCCCCCTCTTTTTCTATTTCTTCTCCTCCTCATTCTCCTTCTTCTTGTCTCTCTCATAATTTATCTGAATGCTTTGAGGGTAATCGGATTTCAGATACAGTACCCCCTTTCCTTTTAATGTTTAGTATTTCCTATAAACAGTGGATTTTATCTTGCTTGGATCAACAATCAATGCTTATGTGAGTATCAGTCATGACATCAAAAGATTCATTACATTAGATAAATCTGCTGTGTAAGACTTCTTTAAAGTATTGAAGAGCAAGGATGTTACTTTAAGAACTGTGGTGTGCTTGATCCAACCCATGGTGTTTTCAATTTCCTCATATGCTTGTGAAAGTTAGATATGAAATAAGGAAGACGGAAGAAATATAGATACATTTGAATTGTCATGCTGGGGAAGAATAGCGAAAGTACTGTGAAAGTAAAAGTAAAAAGTAAAAGGACAAACCAATCTGTCTTGTAGGAAGTATGGCCACAGTTAGCTTTAAGAATGGCTAGACTTGAGCTCATATACTTTGGACATGTTGTCAGGAGAGAGCAGTCCTTGGGAAAGGACATCATTTTTGGTGAAGTGTAGGCATCAGTAAAAGAGGAGGCTCTGAAGGAGATGGATAACACCACGGCTGCAACAATGGGAGCAATTCTGAGGATGGCGTGGGATTGGGCAGTGTTTTGTTCTGTTAGGCATAAGGTAGCTATGGGATGGAACTGATTCTCTAGCACGTGACAACAGAACATTTCTGAGTGTCTTCTGACATTTGCTTTGGTCTTTTTCTCCTGTATTTGTAATGACCTGTTGCTTTCATCCTGAATTATGCCCTCCCACAGTTCATCAGGTCTTCTGTCTTTAGTGTTCAATGTGCTAAATCTGTTCTTGAGCCTTTCTCAAAATTCAGGTGGGATAGACTAGGCAGTGTTCCCTTCTGTGGTGCACGGGGTTATTATTGTTTGGAATCAACTCAATGACACCTAACAAGAGCGAAAATTATGACATTGGCTTATGAAACTACATTAAGTAAAAATGCAGACATTAGTGTTGACATAACACTATTATAAAATCTACAGAGATAAACTTTATTTCAATAATTTTATGGATAGTATTGATTTGGGTTGTTGTTAGGTACCATTGAATTATTTGTAACTCAGAGCAACCCCGTCTACCACGGTGAAACACTGCCCAGGCTGTGCCATTCGCACAGCCATTGCTGTGGTTAACATGAACATACTCGGTCAATTCCTTGAGCTTTTCCCACTTTTAGTGTAACTGAGGGCAAAAGAACATTGAATAAGGAAGACCAAAGAAGTATCAATGTATTTGAATTATGGTACCAGTGAAGAATTTTGAAGGAACCACGGATTGCCAGAAGAAAAAAATAGAACTGTTTTGGAAGAAGTGCAACCAGAATGCTACACAGGGATGATTCGACTTCAGATCATATACTTTGGACAAGTTATTAGGAGAAATCAGTCCCTGAAAAGACATCATGATTGGTAGAGGGTCATTGCCAAAGAAGAAGACTATCAACAAGATGGATTGACTCAGTGGCAGCAACAATGGGCTCAAACATAAGAACAAGTGGGAGATGGCTAAGGACAATATTTCGTTCTGTTGCACTTAGGGTAGCTATGAGCTAGAACTAACTCGATGGTACCCAACAAAAACAGCAATAACATAGCAAAAGTTAAGTCCAGACTGTTCATTTCATTTGGTTGATGCATCTCTTTCATGTCCTTTATTCTGGAGCAGCCTCTAGATGTTCTTTGTCTTTTATAGCATTAGCATTTTTCAGGGCATAGGTCAAAGTATTGCACAGAACATTTTTAATTTAGATTTTTCTAGTCTTCACTACTCTTTAGATTGAGGAGATGCATTTTGTATAGCAATCCCACACTAGTGATATTTTATCCTTTTCATTACATCCTGTCAAAGGTATGTGATGTAGATTTGTCCCGTTATTGAAACTCCATGACAGTAGTGTTATAAAATAAACATTTAAGAAAGACAATTGGGATTAGAGACTCCATTTTTCAGGGTTTCAACAAATTTATAAGTAGATAGATATCCAAGTGTTAGAATGACTGGCTCTATAATAATTTGAGTAAAATTAATTGTCAAAATTGATATTATATACAACATGCCAGATGGCTATTAATTATTTTTTTTCTTTATAGAAACATCAGCTACATGGAAACAGAAAACCAAACAGGAGTTTTAGAGTTTATCCTCCTTGGAATTTCTGATAATGCAGAATTGCAACCCCTCATATTTGGGATTTTCCTGACCATGTACCTGGTCACCATGCTTGGGAATCTGTTCATCATCCTGGCTGTTTGCTCTGATCCCCATCTCCACACCCCTATGTATTTCTTCCTCTCTAACCTGTCCTTGGCTGACATCTGTTTCAGCACCACCATAGTCCCCAAGATGCTGATGAACATTCATTCTGACAACAAAATGATCTCCTATCTGGACTGTTTTGCTCAGGTCTTTTTCACCATGCTTTTCCCTATTCTGGACACTGTACTCCTGACTGTGATGGCCTATGACCGGTTTGTGGCAATTTGTCACCCTCTGCACTACACACTCATCATGAGCCCTCGCCTCTGCTGCCTGTTGGTGTTTATTTCCTGGTTCATTGGCATCATGATATCCCTCCTCCATATTTCTTTGATGATGCCTCTGAGCTTCTGTAGATGTAGTGAAATTATACATTTCTTCTGTGAACTGCACACGATTCTCATGTTGGCCTGCTCGGACACCCTCCTGAACAGTATTTTGATGTATTTAATGACTGGTGTGCTGGGAGTTATTCCCCTTTTGGGGATCCTTTTCTCTTACTCACAAATTATTTCATCCATCAGTAAGATGTCCTCAGCTGGGGGGAAACAAAAGGCATTTTCTACTTGTGGCTCTCACCTCTCAGTTGTTTCTCTGTTTTTTGGGACAGGTGTGGGTGTCTACTTCACTTCTGCAGTGACTAACTCTTCCACGTTAGTCGCAATCGCTTCGGTGATGTACACTATAGTTACCCCCATGCTGAACCCCTTCATATACAGCATGAAGAACAAGGATGTCAAGGGGGCCCTGTGGAGGCTGCCCAGCAAAATAGTCTCTTGTCTGTGATGGACCCACTGGCCCCAGGACTAAGAAGATTTGTCACTACCAATGGCAAGTAAATTGATCCTGAAGTAGATGAAATTCCTACTCCTGGATACCTGAAACCATCTTATTATTTTACTTGATTGTGGTGTTTATATAACTTTGTTCTCATAATCTTTACATATTTTTTAACAATTTCTCTGATGATTCTTATGCCCTACACTCTGCTACAAAACTATGCCCAATGACTTTTACTATTATACCTTGAGTAATTCTAAGATTGTCTTTCCATTTGTTTGTGATCTGTGTGGCATCTTTCTCAATTGCATGCATGTGAGTTCTAAACTTCATTTTGAAGGATTTCCATAGTTTTGCTTTTGCAAGTATTAGTACAGATTCTTAAACTAATGATATTATTCACCCTAATTTACTTCTATGTATTTGCATGTCAATATTTCTTGTTTATGTGTGAGACTCACCAACAGTGTTTTTTTAATTGAATAAAGTATGATTAAAACACATAACAAAAATAGCTGTTGTTAGTGTTTGTCATTCTTTAAGCATGTGCTAAATACTCTGCCTGTGTTATATCATGTAATCTCCCTAACAGGCACTATTACTGTCCTTGAGATATTACTTGTTGAATCAATTCCAAATCATGGCAACTCCACATGGGTCAGAATGAAACTATTCTCCAGAGGGTTTTTGATGGCTGATTTTCTGGAAATAAAGTACAAAGCCTTCCTTCCAATGCTTATTTGGTACTCAAACCTACAACCTTTTTGTTAGTGACTGAGCATGTTATCAGATCCCACCTCTCTGTTGTTTGTTATGCTTTTAGATGTTCAAGTTGGTTCTGATTCATAGCAACCCTATGTACAGTAAAACAAAACACCGGCCAGCCCTGCACCATCATCACAATTGTTCTTAAGTTTGAACCCATTGCTGCAGCCACTTTGCCAATCCATCTTGTTGAGGGCTTTCCTTATTTTTTGCTGCCCCTCTCCTTTACAAAGCATGATGTCCTTCTGTAGGGACTCGTCTCTCCTGATATGTACAAAGTGTATGAGAGGAAGTCTCCTCACCCTGGCCTCTGAGAAGCATTTTGACCATAGTACTTCCCAAATATATTAGTTTGTTCTTTTGGTGGTCCGTGGTATTTTCAATATTCTCCAGCACCATCCTTCAAATGCGTCAATTCTTCTTCTATATTATTTATTCAATGTCCAACTTTCACATGCCTATTAAGCATACCTTGCTCCTCTAAGTCTCCTCCCTGCTTCTTAACACTCTAAAGAGGTCCTGTGCAGCAGATTTGCCCCACACAACTTGTCTTTTTATCTCTTGACCGCTGCTTCCATAAGCCTCGGTTGTGGATCCAAGAAAGACAAAATCCTTGACAATTGAAACTTTGCTCCATTTATGATGTCACTTATTGGTCAAGTGTGAGGATCTTGGTCTTATTTGCATTGAGACATCACACATACTGAAGTATACCATCCTTGACCTTTATCAGTAACTTCTTCAAGTCCTCCTCATTTTCAGTAAGCAGGGTTATATCATCTGCATAATGCAGGCTGTGTCAAGTCCTGATGCCACATTCTTCTTCATACCATCCAGCTTCTCTGATTATTTGCTCAGTTTACAGATTGAAATATGGTGAGAAGATACAACCCAGACACATCTTTCCTGACATAAATCATTCAGCATTTCATGCTCTGTTTGCACAACAGCTTCTTCATCTGTGTACAAGTTCTGCAGGAAAAAAATGAAGTGTCCACCACTCTTTGACACCTGAGAACTGCCCTGGAATCCGCTGTGTAGTGGTATAACATTCTGTGTTATCCCAAAATACTGAAAGGTAATCTTGATCTCATTCTTTCTCTCTGTAACCTGGCACAAGAACTCCAGCATCTAAAGCAGTGGTCGTCAACCTTCCTAATGCCGCAACCCTTTTATAAAATTCCTCATTCTGTGGTGACACCCCCCCAACCATAAAATTATTCTTGTTGCTACTTCATAACTGTAATTTTGCAACTTTTATGAATCGGGCAACTCGTGTGAAAGGGTCGTTCAACCTCGAAAGGGGTTGTGACCCACAGGTTGAGAACTGCTGACCCAGAGCATAGATTCCAAAATGTACTTGCTCTACTGCCCCCTTTTCAGGGGGAAAAGAACCTCAGCGCTCAATGGCAATTAAAATTTTGCACCATAACCCTTAACCCAGGATCAAGTATATGTAGATATCTGCTTTTGCAGCCACTCTAGTTTGCTCCAGAGCCCTCTAGGGACAGCATCTTCTACTGCGGAAAATGTCCTACCCTAACTCTTTCTTAACAATTCTTAGATGCCCTCATTTGTTCACGAATTTATCTTTGATTAAACACATTAATTTCCCTATCTCTATCTTCATTTCTTCCTTCATCCTGCCCCTTGTGTTTCCGATTAGACACCTTTAAAAAAGAAGCCTACGTTACCCGGCTGTCAGATTTCAGTGACTAAAGACTGGAGTGAGGACATGGAGAGGAACAGGCAAAGGCCATAGACAAGCACAGCCTTTGCCTTCTTTGGTATCTTTTTCTTTTCCTCTGAGTATGTTCCAGGTGATTCAACCTCCCATGCTCCTTTCCTGTTGTTCTTAGTGGCTGTTGAGTTGATTGCATCTCATGGGGGCCCCATGTGTGTAGACTAGAACTGCTTCAAATGATGTTCAATGCTCGACTTCCAGCAGCAGCAGATCACCAGCCGTGTCTTCGGAGATGCCGTCAGTGTGACTGTCAACCTTTCAGCTTCAAGCCGGTCACTTGATTTCCATAAGAGCTTTTGTCTTTCCTCCCTCCTTCCCTCTTTCTTTCTCTCATCAGCCCACTCACCCACCCACCTCACCTCTGGAAAACCAACCCACATCCTATGTATCCCACAAAATTGTATCCAGATTAATTCCCATCTCTCAAATTTCGTCACCACTCAGACAGTTATTGGATGATTTCCTAAGTCTCCTTCTAGCCCCAGGCTCCCAGGAAAATCGAATGTCTTTGAATAAGTTACTACCATTCACTGGACCCCCATATTCCATATGCATGTTAGCATTTTATCTCTATGTTCCAAAGTTCCCTCAAATATAGAGATCTTATTTTTCTAAACCAGAGCTAAAAGAGAATAAAGGTATTAGATGAGTGTCCCAGCATTGAGTCAAAATTTTGAAATCTTTCATGTAACAGAATGACAGAAATAGGATTTCTAAATAATGTTAAGGCTTTTGTGCCCAATGCTTCCTTTGAAGAAGTAAAGTTGAGGAGAATCTACAGTCCAATATATATTTATTTTTCATATTCTTTCCTGTTTCAATTTCCTAGCTGACTTATCATCAACATGGAACCAGAAAATAAAACAAGCACTTTAGAGTTTTTCCTCCTAGTATTTTCCCAGGACTCAGAGAAGCAGTCCTTCATATTTGGAATGTTCCTGTCCATGTATGTGGTCACTGTTTTTGGAAACCTACTTATTACCACAGCCATCATCTTTGACTCACACCTCCATACCCCCATGTACTTCTTCCTCTCCAACCTGTCCTTGGCTGACATCTGTTTCACCTCTACCACCATCCCCAAGATGCTGGTGAACATCCAGACCCAGAGCATATCCATCACCTATGCAGGCTGCATCACCCAGATATATTTTTTCTTGGTATTTGGAGGCATGGACACATTTATCCTGACTGTGATGGCCTATGACCGGGTTGTAGCTATATGTCACCCCCTGCACTACCCAGTCATCATGAACCCCCGGCTCTGTGGTCTACAAGTTTTCATGCCCTGGTTCATCAGCTTGATGTATTCCCAAGGGCTGACTCTGTTGATGCTTCAGCTCTCCTTCTGCACCAACTGGATAATTGGTCACTTTTACTGTCAACTTGCTCATGTTCTTGCAATTTTCTGCTCTAATACACTCCTTAATTACATCCTACTATATATAGTAACTTGCCTCGTTGGTATTGTTCCCTTCTCTGAGATCCCATTCTCATATATACACTCAGATCATCTCCTCTATCTTGAGAATTCCATGGGCTGAGGGGAAGTACAAAGCATTTTCCACCTATGGATCTCACCTGTCTGTGGTTTCTTTATTCTATGGGACAGGACTTGGGGTCTGCATCTGTGTTGGATTATCATCCTCTTATGTAGTAGCATGGTTCCCTCAGTGATGTACACCATTGTCATCCCCATGCTGAACTCCTTCATTTACAGTGTGAGAAACAGGGATATCAAGAAGGCTGTGCAAAGACTTCTCAGGAGAACACTTTAAGTTCAATGATGGGAACATTATCCTTGGATTTTTATTGAGCCAGTATTGGACTAAAGAAAACCTCATTTTTAAGCACTAGGTGTCCCCGGGTGATATAAATAGATTGACTAAATATTTGGGATTCATACCTAACTAATGATATCTCAGGAGACACAAGGCAGAAATATACTTTCAAAGATCATAGCTTAAAATTTCTGTGGAGTGCAGTCCTTCCCCCCACACAAATGGGGTCATTATGAGCCAGAATTAACTCAGCAACAAATAACACCAACAACAATAACAGAGAATGTTATAGACTCAGAACCCTACTGGGGCAACTATTCATGTCCTATGGGATCGCTATGATTCTCAATAGACTTGGTGGCTGTGAGGATTTAAAAATCCATAATGGGTTAGAAAGCCCCCTCTTTCCCTGCCTGTTTAGCCGGCAGTTTCCAACTGCTAACTTTGAGGTTAGTAACCCAGCGTATAACCAATCTGCCACCAGGTCTCTCAGGGCTCCTTTATTTGGGAGAAACACGGGGGTTTCTATTTCCTTGAAGAGTTATAGTCTCAAAATTCACAGAGGCAGTGCTAGTCTGCTTTAGAGGGTTGCTATGAGTTGGGATTCACTTATGGCAGTGAATGTAGTTTGGTTTGGTTCTATTTTTGTTGTGATCCTCTGAGTAAGAAAGGTTAAACTTTAAGTATAATAATGTGTGACCACAGTATTCCTCAAC